TATGTAATGGGCTATGAATATAGATCAAAGGCATCAATAGACCTCAAAAAAAGTCGCTATTGGACAATTCACAAGCAAATTCATTTGACTTCTTCTCTTCGTATCACTCCAAGCATCAGTCATAAGAGAAACCCCATACTGAGCCCATGCATCTTTCTTAAGTTCTACAACTTCCTTCGTGGCATTCACTGCTTTTTTTTAAAAAGGCTGTGAAAGCTCATATGGGGTTGGGGGTTTCATCCCAAGGCCAAATTGGCCAATTGCCTTTACTGCAGCATAAAAGCTGCTCAAGCGAGCGGTATTCAAAGGAATGCCCGCCTCATAAAACCATATAACCAAATAATACGTAGCTCTATCTCTCTCTTCGTTCTTGATTTTATTTTCAATGGTGGTTTGCTTTTTTGTTTTCTTTCCTGTAATCTCAAGGTCAAGTCGAGGTAAGAAACTATCTATAGGGCCTCTAACCCGAGGCTTCTTAGTCCCAGAACCAGAAGCAATTGCAACTCTTTCCCCTTTCCCCTAATAATGGATTGCTCAACCTCTTGACATCCCTCCCCAATCCTTTCTTCATCACTATCATTGTCATCAAAATTGACTCGAATCCCAGACCTAATCTCTGTTATAGAGATAAATCTCTCATCTTTTTTCATTTTCACCAAGTTCATAAAATTCTTTATTTCCTCTTTAACAACATCATGAGTCTTTTTACATAGGGAAACATCCCCCCTGATACCGACAAGATGTTTCTTGAATCGGTTTATACCCCTTTTTGTATCATTTTCACAAAAATTGTATGTTATGCAATTTTTATCATTAGGATCTGGGTTATAGCCATATTTCAACCAGAATCACCACTCCTATTAGATCCTTAAAAAGACATCTAAAAAATAATGCAAATTACTAAAGCAATAAAAACAATCACTGACTTTGAGTTTGATTGCTCAATCTTCAAATTTCCACCTCAAAGATGTTTCAAAGTACTCATAATCTTCTAAAACACCCCTTGATAACTTTGCAAAACATCAAAAAGTAAATATAATACCAATGGGTGATGTTTTGATCAATTTTGGTTACCTTTGAGTAACCTTTCGATCTTAAAAATTTACCACAATCTATTTTTTTGGTGGTTTTCTCGCTCTAAATTTGGCTCAAACAAGGTTTAGGTTTCAAATGTACCTAAAACCCTAATTTTTTTGGCCTTAAAAACAAAAAGAAATGACGTAAAATGCCCTCACTAATTTTTTTTTTGCCCCTGGGAGGCCGTTTAGGGGGGTTCTGTATCGCCTAGGCGGCTGCCCAGGGATTGACCTCCCAGTTTGGCCTCCTAGGCTTGGGCGATGCGCCAAGGCCTTTCGGACCGCTTAGGCGGCCGTCTAGGCGTTGGGCAGTCCGCTTTTTGAATCACTGCTTGACAAGATAAATACTAAATAGTTCTGATGCTTTGTTTATTTTGTGCAGGCTGTGTCGATGTTTCTTTTGGTTTATGCCATTGAAGGTCCAATAAATGATCAGCTAACTCACAATTTATCTGTGTTGGGTACTCTTATGTATGTCTTCTCCCCTCTCAATGCTGGTGTGTGTTGAATTTTGAACAAATTAGTCTTCTATTTGGTTTCTTTGGTTATTAAATTGAACAAAACACATCCATTATTTATTTCCTTCACCCAAGAGTCTAACATGAATGTTGAACATCACTCTTGGCATGTTTTGGGATGGAATGATCTTGGAAGTCAAAGGTTCTACCAGAGAAACCATGCAAATATTAGTCTAGGAATAAACTCGCTTCTTATTTGTGCATTATAAACGATTTTTTTTTTTCTGAAGACTACATTATGATTTTAATGCTAGACTGCTTACATGTCCATTATATGGGGGTTTTCGTATGTTTCCCACTGTTGCAACTTATACTATCTAAGAAAAGTTAAAACAAAATTCCTATAAATAGTTGCTAGGATTGACTGTGGGATATGCAACTATATTTAGTTCAAATATGGACTGCCTTGGATCTGTGAAACTTCCATGAGGTGAGATATTACCTTGCTGTATCACTTGGGCTGTAAGATGGCACTCGAAAATTAAGTGCAAACTTGGGGACTTACTTGGAGGATTCGTTGCTCATTTTGGTTGCTTGATTTTTTTTATTTATTTTGAACTGGTGACAATATATTAATGCATAAAATGTGTTTTATGAAACCCACGAGATGTGGGGTACATACTGGGTGCTGAGATCCTTACAACAAAAATTTAATCAAAAGAATCATATAATACACTTCCAGTCTTAAGAGAGGAAGAGATAGAAGATGATGGTATAGGAATAGCGAGGTGAGATTTAGTGAGAGACTATATGGAAGGAGAGGAGATAGATCGAAGAGGAGTCTGATAGGATGCAGAGAGAGTGAGAGAAAGAGAGAGAGAGAGGTGGGGTAGAAGAGAGCAGAGGGTGGAGAGAGGAGAGAGAGGTGGGAGGAAGAGAGAGGAAGACTGTTGCAGGATAAAATTAATCTTAGTTTTAATTTTTAATTCAATTTCTGAGGATGTATATTATTGGATTTAGTTTTCGGATTTGTAAGTTTTTAGGGATTATAAGATTTTTATATGTTTTTTACGATTTACTGGTTACTATTCATGGGTACTATATATGGGAATTGTTCATAGGTTACTGTTCGCATGGGTAATTTTTCCATTATGAATTTGTGTTTAAGGTAGAAATTTCTGGTATTTTAATTATTGTATGGACCAGCGTTTTAAAAAACGCCGAGTCGAACCGGACTCGCCCGGTTCGACTCGGAAATAGTGAAAAAGGAACCGGATCGCCAAAAATCGGAAATCGTCCGGTTCTAGAGAGAACCGGACGATTCTGTACAGTGAATCGCCGATTCACTGTACAGGATCGGCGAGTCCGAACAGTGAATCGGCGATTCCGTACGGAATTTTTTTATTTTTTTTTTTTTTTTTTTATTTTTTTTTTTTTTTTTTGTTTTTTAGTAATCC